CATGGTCTGTAAATCATTTGTCATAAGACCATGTAAAGGTGACAGCTCCAACCAATTGCGATACCATTTTTTCTCCTTATATTCAGTTGTAGAAGCACCACTTTAGAAGCATGTCTGATTAGTCCTACTCTTTATTGGAGGACTTGCTAGTTGATCCTCAATGAGTTACCCTAGAATATGTTTCAAAATTTTACAAAAGCACTCCCCTAAACTGCTTTTCATAGCTCAGTGATTGCTAATGAGATACAGAATCTTTCCCTTCTAAGTCACCAGTTCAAATCTGTCTGAGGTAGATAATGATTAGATAACATTACAATCAGCGGTTTGGTCAGTGTCCTATCTCAAATGACATTTCTGAACTGGGTCCATTTGGGTTTAGAAAAAAATGCCACTAATTGGCAGCATTTCTGTCAGTGTCAACAGAAAGCTTAAGATGTAAAAGGAATGTAAATAGTAAAGGATAAATGATCTTATCCCAGAGATGGCTCCAGTAGGCCCAAGTTTCTGAGGCTTACTAGAGGGATCAGGTGGACAGGCACTTGTCTTTTGTCTCCAGAAATTCCAAGTTATCATCTTTGCTTAGTTGTAATTTCTCAGTGATATCAAGGGGTTGTTAAGGGTTTTGTTTTGTATTTTTTAGACACATTGGTCTAACCACTCCCATACTTGTCAGAAGGACACGACTTCTGAACGTGCTTCCAACTTAACCAACTATACTCCTGCATTCACAAGCTTATATTTCATTCCATGTATATTAAGTAGGGAGGGATGAGCCAAAAACCTTGTCGCGTTATAGCCAAAAGCTTTCTGCTCCTCTCCCTCTGTCTCTTTAGGGAAAAGCAAACTTCTGTTCTTTGTAGAGTGCCTATAATCTTTAGGCTTTTTTACATGGAAAACTTATTGCAAAGCTTGGGGGAAGGTCTGTGGAGAAGCAACTGTGAACTAACTGTCTGTACACATGCTGTGGTCTAGATTCTCTTCTCTTATTAGGCACTTAAGAGCTCTAAGGCTGTCATTTTCTTTCATCTAGTGGTCTACCAAACTGCAGCTTCATACTAAATGCAAGCTACCTGGCTATGGTGTAGGAGTGATTCTGTTACCTCCTCTGAATGCATAGGGCCCCGTGTATGTACAATCCAAAAGTGCACAGATATATTGCTATTTATATAATGGGGGCACTTATGTACCCCAAGTGGGTAATCACTTCTAAACTTTAGTTGGACAACTCAGTGTTAGTCTTAAATGATGTTTGGTCACCTAGGAGGTAAATCAGAATTGTGCCCTAAGAATGTTCACACAGGGAGTTGGTATGGAGTAGCTAGTATGCTGTAAATTTACACCCTCATTTTCTCTGCACTCACTTTTCCTTGTTGACAGCCCTTGGCATGGATTTTACTGTTACTCTGGAAAGTTGCCAGAAACATTTTCTTCAGAATCTACCATTGTCTTCCAGTTGCAGTGAATCCATGCTTTTCAGGCTATTGTTGTAATATTTCTTTTTTGTTCTGGTTTCTTAATTTCAAGGCTAGTTTTGTTTTGTTTTTTTAGCTCAAGTAAAGATTCTGTTACAGAAATCCAGTCCCGTCCTGTCCCGTCCCATCCCGTCCCCTCCTTTTTTTTTCTATTCATGGTGAACCTGAGGAGGTGAATATTCTAAGAATTCAAACTGTAGATCTCTGAAATCTGCATTGATTAAGTTCTCTGCTTTTTTACTGACAGGCTGCTAATGGCTCTGAGTACTCAAAACAGTCTATGAGAAATCCCCAGAGATAGATATGTATATAGAGTGCCGAAGCGAGCAACTCGTGAATCTTGAGCTGTTTCTGTTTTAAAATTATCTGGAAGCTCATGCTGAGGAAACTGAAATTTATAGTGTGCCATCACTGCAAATGTAATTTGATGTGTTTTTACAATAGCTTTGCCAAACAAAACCTTTTTAGTAGCCCACAAAGGAGAGAGAAGCTTTGTTTTTAAGTTCAAATACATCTATTTCAACCTCACAGCAAGGGGGACAATTTTGTGCACTTGAAGTGTTACTTTTCCATTCTGTTTCCTGTACTTATTGTAGAGTTCATACTTGGCACAGTAAACCACCTTGAATCATGTTTCTACACTTAATAATCAGAGAGGCTTTGAAGATTTCCAGAGAGAGGTTAAGAATGCCTTGTCCTAGTAGGTTTGTACAGAATCCCAACATGTATGTCACTCTCATCAAGATGGTCCAGCCAGGTTTTTGAACTTGTAGTTTCCACTTTTGGATTGTAAAATGATCTTGAATTGTTCTCTGAATTATTTGTATTAAATATCCATATGTCAGTAGCATCTGCAACTAGGTTTCAACAAGTGAAACCCTGATTATGCTACACATTGTATAAGTGTGGTATAGATGTGGCCTTCCCTAAAGGTTTTTCAGCCTTTAAGCTGCTCTAGGTTGAAATTTGGGGCAGTTTTACCATATGTCACCATAACTGCCATTGGTCTAAAAACACTAACTCCCAAGGGTTCTGTAATTCCATGAAAATTGCAGCTTCCTCTTTTTTTTGGTGTTTTGTTTTGTTTTAAAAGAAGCAAAATTCTTAGTTCTAATGATTGTGAAGAACAAGCTTTAAAATGTTAATCCTAAATGGCTCAACATAAGCCAAAAGGATAATAAAAATAATCTAGAATGTATTACTTTGAAAAAAATCAACTTCTGATTTTAAGCCAATTTCTTAATTCTATTTTGGGAACTAGTGAAGCCTTACAGATAATTTTTTAATGTATAATATTGGCAATCCTGAGGCTGTGTCATCTTGAATAGATTTGGTTTTGTATTCCTTACATCAACACTGTTTTTCTACAGTTCACCTATAAACATCTTCACACCAGGGGATTGTGGATTTGATTCCCTGCTTTGCAAACAGATTTTCTTCATGACCTCATGAGTAGAGACAGAAAGTTAGCCATATTAATCTGAAGTCAGACAGAAGGCAAAGAATATTGTTGCCTGTAAGGTGACACCTCTAAGGTGCCACTCTGTCCTGTTTTCTTCATAACTTCAGGAAATTTACTTTCACCAAGATCTACAAAGGTATTTAGGCACTTAGTTCCCACTGAAGCTTAATTAGCCCTCAGTGCCTGGCTCAGTTTCCCTCTATAAAATATTGGCAGTCCCTGAGGACAGTCATAACTGAACAATATATACTTTATCTTTCTTTCCCAGAGATTTACCCATAAACAACCTCAAAATCACTCTGAAGAAGAAGTAATTGCCACCATTTCTTTCTCAATCTGAGTAAAATTCTGTTCCTTTGTCATTGCTATGTATGTGCATCCCAGGAGGCTATCATTTTAAAAAGCTTGTATCTACTGAGATGAAAGGCTAGTTTAGTGCAAAACTTCATGTTTTTTTTAATTCCAAAGATCTTTTCACTTTGAAATGTGCAGACATGCAGCGCAATTACTATGAAGTAAGTTACTGTGGATTTTACTTTGTGATAAGGTGTGGATGCACAATCTAATCTCCCAAGCTCTCTGCCTGTAATAGCCACTGTTATTGCACCTGGCTACTAAGTGTCAGGGGAGCTGATTTACATCGAACAAAAGGTGAACCCAAGGTGAAATTGACGACTGGTATGTAGTTACTCCAGTTCGCTCTATAGGAAAAGTGGTATGCATCATAATTCTTGTCATCCATGTTCCATTTTTAGTCTCTTCGGACAGTATTCAAAATGAAGTGTTTAGTTGTAATAACTTAGGGTTGCATGAATGATTTATCCATGGATCAGCATAAAGGTTTCTCTAGGTTTTTGACCCTCTTTGGGCACCTATACACATGCATCAAGGCTGCTCCAAATCACTGTAATTAGAGTGCATTGGAGCAGACTCAATTAATTGAGTCTGCTAGAGTGTGGTAATTACTGCGCTCTAGCAAGCTCCAGGGTCATGTGTGTCAGTATCCCCAAACTGAAAAATGGTGGTGGGTTTGCTTTAACTAAAGCTCCAAGAGCCACTTTAATTAAAGCTTTGGGAGCCATTCTAATTAAAATGCCTCCCCTCCCCCCCCACCTCCCAGAGCACATGTATAAAAACCCTTTATCACTAAGTATCTCTTCTAAGCAACTGACCTTTGCTCCTAGTTTTTTTAAGGTGATTTATTCTTTCGCATGTTGTGGAACTGATCAATATGATCCCAGATCTGCACATCATCAGTAATGATTTATAATCTATTCAGAACCTCAAAGATTTGATATATCTTTAGCATGCAACAAATACTGTTCTTCTGATAATAGGAATCCTTCCAGGTTGTGTCATGATCTGTGTGTCTGGTTCTTCAGAGAGAGCAAACTGCCCAGTCAGATTATTTGAAGCATAACTCCAAGGCTAAAACTCTCAAAGTTCATTAGTCCATATCTAAACAACATTTTTAAATCTGTGAAGAAATTGATATATCAGTAAATTTCACTATATACCAGTCAAGAACAATAAAAAACAGGTTTTGTTATTGTTTGATTGCTATTGTATGGGCCTTGCTATTGCATGATTGCAGTAGTCCTTTGTATGAATATGTTGTATGGACTTTCCCCCATTTAGCTATCCATAACTAATTTTCAAGGAAGGCAGTTGTGCATTCTATATAAAGTTTTATCCTAGAGTGATTTTTTTTTTCTGTTATAGTCAGAGGGAATTAGTAGAGAAGAATATGATATTTGTGTATAACAGAGTAAAATGAACATCATTTTTATTGCAAATCAGATGTGGGCTTTAATTTTTTATTAAAATAAATGCATTTAATGTCAGACAAATAATGAAATTAAAGCACAAGCAGGGTACCCAAGATTTCTGTTGTACTTAATTGCATATTTCAGTTTCTCTCCTAAACTTAGAGTTTCCAAAACAGTTTTATTGCTATACTTTATTAGGGTTTTTTTAAAAGAACACAGGCACAGATACATATTCATGCTTTCTGCACTGTATGATCTGATAGACTGTGCGTACTGATTCTCATTTATTCTGCACAGGCTCCATCATCACCTTCCTCACCCATAGCTAATGAACCAAAATATGAGAAGCGCTGGCTAGACACCTTATCAGTTCCTCTCTCGATGGCTCGAATCTCAAGGTACAAAGCTGGAACAGATAAATTAAGGTTTGTAATCTGAAAGGGGAAGAATTGAATTTAATAATGGCACCTATTTTTTTTTTTCTATAAAGGTGTTCAATATGTGAGGATTTTTTTGACTTGAGAAATGAAAGTGTTTTAATTCCTATTATAAATCCCACATTGCCTATTGTCTTTTGAGATTTATGAATGCATAGTGGCTACTGAAGGTAATGTAAAAATGTCAATAAGCATTGTTCCTAATAATGGATTAAGGAAGCATATTTTATCTTGGGGCTTCAGTTTCCACATCAACTAATTTAAAGGTTCAGCTTGATTTTTATCCGAGTTCAAATTTCTTTAAAGATGTTTTTTTTACAGTTCCCGCAGTATAGTTAAAAACAAAATACTTACGAAAATCTGCTTTTGAATGTTTCTTATAGCCACCCTTCAGATAATAAGAATGTACTGTAATACTGTTAGCACTTTGCTCCATACTATGTCCATAAGGAAACTCATGCTAAGACAGCAAAAAGATTTCTGTTTGCTTCAAAAGCACAACATATTGAAAGCTGTAATTTTCAAACATAGAATTTCCTTTCCTATTGGAGCACTAATCTGTGATTCAAAAAACTGCCACCTTTCCCACATGTATGTCCCTCCTTTTTTTGTTATGACTGTCTCTATCAGCTTAGGATACTGTAATGGATACTCCACTAAGCCTTCGTGTAGTGCACTACATTAGTTCAATGGCAGCTGTTGACCTGGACACCAAAAATAAGCAGACAAGATGCCAGGAAGATTTCTAACTAGCCCACAACACTAGTAAATAATGTACCTGGAAAATGTTGTAACTGTACTCCAGTCATTGAAGATACATCCTGATGTCAAAAAATCAATTTCCAGAGGAAACTGGCCACCCTCATATGGACCAAGTACACAGTTCTTTGCCTGCACATCTAGGCACAAATTGTTCTGACCTATTGCATTTGAAGGAAGGACTAAACAAGAAGTCTCAGAATCTATTCTGTCTTTGAGATGTGTAGGTTATTTCACATACTTTTTCCTGGAATGATTACTTAATGAAAAATGTATCAACAACATTAGGAGCAGGGGCCATAACTCAGTTTTTCCTCCCACCAAGGGAGGAAAGTACCTGAATCAGGGTCTATTGTTATTTTTTTCCTTCTGGCCCCAGTTAATTTTAAATTCCTTTCCACACAGTGGCCCAGCTTCAATAGGGGGGATGGAAAACTCCCTTGACCCTCCTCGACACATAGCCTAGTTGTTAAGGCACTTTCCAGGGAAGTGGGAGGTATGGATTCAAACTCTCTCTGACTGGAAGTGTACAACCCAAGTCATCCACTTCCCAGGAAATATCCCAAATGGTAGGTTTGCTCTTTGCAATTTCTTCTTCTCTCCTTTTCTTCTCTCTTTTGTTAGTCAGTTCAAGTAGCCATCTCTCCAAGCTGAGTTAATATTACAGACATGTAGGACATGTATGTATCTACCTGATGGACAAAATGGGAGATCTGACTCCCTCCTGTGGAGTTGTATAAAACTTTATGTTGCCAAAATGGGGTAATTATGCATCTCTGCAGTGTGGAATAGGTTCAGCATATTAGACTACATATTGAGGGAATGGGAAAGCCGTTTGTCTCTATTGGAATAGGATCGCATTCCTCAGTTGAGTTTCAAACATTTTGGACTAGTGGTGATTATTTTCTTGTCCTGATTAGCTCCAATGTTTGATTAGCTCTGGCAGCTATGGTATCACTTTGGTGGCTCATGTTCATTTTGTTGTCTATCATGACACCCAGGTCTCATTTAGTTGTGGTGCTGACTAGCATAGCACCGCCAAGCCTGTAAATGTGTTGTGGATTATTTCTACCCAGATGGAGCACATTGCATTTCTCTGTATTAAACAACATCAGGCTGAGGTCCGCCCACCTCAAGTCTGTCCAGGTTGACCTGTAGTGCCAGCCTGTCCTGGAGCGTGACCATGCTCCCCCATAGTTTGGTGTCATTGGCGAACTTTGCCAGTTCACATTTAATACCCAAAGCCAAATAATTGATACACACATTGAAGAGCACTGGTCTGAGTACTGAGTCCTGAGGGACACCACTAGTCACCTCCCACCATGATGACTCCGGCCCGTCTATCAGTACTCTCTGGGTCCTACCATGGAGCCAGTTTCCTAGCCACTGGACTGTAAAGGAATTGAGGCCACATTTTTTCCAATTTAACCATGAGAACATCATGGGAGACCAGGTCAAAGGCCTTTTTGGAATCCAAGCATACAACATCAACCTCATTTCCTCTATCCAGGTGATGAGTTACCAGATTGTAGAAGGAGATGAGGTTGGTTTGGCATGACCTGCCTGTAATGAAGCCATGTTGGCTATCCTTCAGAATACTACCTTCTGTTAGCCTGTTAGTGATGGACTCTTTGATAATTTTGTCTAGAATTTCACCCAGGATTGAGGTCAAACTGATTGGCCTGTAATTCTTGGGGTCCTCCTTTCCTCCTTTCTTGAAGATAGGCACAACATTGGCCTTCTTCCAGTCTTCTGGGACCTCTCCTCAGCATCACAAATTTTCAAATAACTTGGCCATAGTTTGCACAATGACATTGGCCAGTTCTTTTAGCACTCTCAGGTGTAGTTCATCTGGTCCTGCTGACTTGTAGATATTTAGTCTTTGTAGGTGGTCTCCCACAAGATCTATGCCAACTATGAGAGTGTGGTTACTCCCACCATGATCATCCTGCATCCTGTTAAGTAGAATAACACCCTTGGATAGTGGAATACCGACATGAAGTATTCATTCAGGAGTTCAGTTTTGTCCTGAGTGTTGGTTATCAGATGCCCCTTTTCAGTCATCAGGGGCCCTATGCTTTCCTTTTTTCTTTTTTTTTTCCTACTCTATACATATCTAAAGAGGGACTTTGTGTTGTCCTTTATTTCAGTTGCCACTTTGTATTCTGTTTGTGCTTTTGCTGTCCTGATCAGCTTCCTACAGGTGTGGGCTATTGCTGTGTACTCCTCTTTGGTAGCTATTCCTAACTTCCATTCCTTGTAGGCTTCTCATCTTGATTTCAGAAGGTCCATGACTTGCCTATTAAGCCAGGGGGGTCTCCGAGCCCTTTTATAGCTATAAGCCAATTCCCAAAAAGCAAACCTTTTAAATACCATTTTCAAGCCATCAGACGCCAGTAGATTCTCCAAGTTTTGAGAGAGACTTGGAGCCATGAAGTTTTGAGTTAATGGGCAGAGGACCCAGAGACCATGAGCTAAGAGTTATGTCAACTAGATGTCAGTTAGTGTCTGGTTAGTCCTCCCCGTATTCCACACAGCACTGCTCTTCACTCTCCTCCCCTGCCCCCCGCCCCAACCCCCACAGGGCATGTGGCTACTTTGGTACTGCTCAGTGCTCAGGTGGGGAGAGTGCCCCTGCTTCTGCTTAGCAATTAACTGACAATTTACACTGGGAGAACATGGAATTGACAGACATTCTGTGGTATTAAGTGATCATTCTGCAGTAACTGTTTTCCCTCATTCGGCAATCGGCAAGTGTTTACAGGGAAAAGCATATCCACCCACCAACATCCCAGTGTTTGAAGGTGGTGAATTGAAATTATTGAAGCACCTTTCTAGAGAAAGCCTTGTTAAAGCTGCGGCCTGAGGCTGAGACCTTGGGCAGCCTCAAGAATACCCAACTCCCTGGGACAGGATTGCCAACTGTCTGTATATTTATGGACAGTCTGTGGGAGAGGGAGCAGGAGGGATGCTAAAGATACTTTTCTGTTAAATCTGTAAAGTAAATAAGAGTAAAAAACAAATAAACCATTAGCTTGGTTGAAGATCCATCATCAGAATGAGACAGCATGCAAGTGTTGAAGGAGAGAGAAACCAAGTAGGGGACCCTACTTGGGGTATGGGCAGCAGCGTGTAAAACCACTGCAGCCAATTAAGACTTTATTTGTCACCTCTCTATCATGTATGTTAGTGTTATGTATAAAAAATGGCAACTAATTAAAAAAGTGATAATCACAAGATAAGTTTCTGAATTTTAGCTATGGTTATAGTGGCATGTTCATTGCTAGTATAACGCACTCCCCTGGGAGATGGACAATGACTCCCACTTGGAGAAGAGAAGGGGTGCCAAGAAGTACATCAGTGGCCCCCTGACAGGGGATGGCACCCCCCTCATAGATCCCAATGAGCTGCGAGAAAGGGTGAGGGCTTTCTACATGGTGCTCTTCTCACCAAATCAAACTGACACCAACAACTACCAGGTCCTATGGAAGGGACTGTCACAGATCCTCATGGGTGACCAGAACTGTCTGGAGGGTACTGTCACCCTGGCTGAGCTTTCAGATGCCGTCTACCTCATACCTACCAACAAAGATCTGGGCATCAGTGGGCTAACTCTGAAGCTCTACTGTGCCTTTTGGGACATCCTCAGCCTAGACCTCACTGCAGTCTGGGTAGAGTCCAAGGGGGACAGGGAACTGTGTATTACTTTTGTTTTTACATTCAATCAGTGTCTTTATGTGTACTGGTCTTTGAAACATCACATCACTGCTTCTATAATCCTACAATCCTGTATGGATACACAGGTTTTCAGAAGAAACTCCATAATGAAACAAAAGGACTGTCATGGGCGGGGTCCTTCAGGAGGGCCGTGATCTCCTTAAGGCCCCTTTCTCCATGCCAAGTCAGCCCAAGGGTACCCTCTAATTCTCGCCCGCCACGTCTTTGATGTTTGGATAAGTTTGGGAGGCTGCCTTACGCCCTCTTGGTCACTTCTTGGTGTTGGTTCAGACCCCATGGTTTCCCGGGCCCCTTATGGGTTCTCACTCTATGATGGGTACTTCAGGGGCACCCTAGCCTTAGGGGCTATGCGTGGCTCCAACCACCCCTTATACCACGCCCAAAGCTTCGCAGCTGGAATAGACGTTGGTCTGTCAAATATACACTCGCCCTCTCTGGGGTCCTCTTCGTAGCACTGCCCTCTCTCAGGGATCCTCTGTACGCTGCCCCAT